AAAAATAAAATTTTAATTTTATAATTCTCTTAAAATATTATTAAATATTTATGTTAAAAAAACAAATTTTTTTTAAACATTAAAAACTTTAAGAAATGAAAAATAACTTTTCAAGATATCAATGAGAGTCCAATTTATACCAACTATCCTGTCAAATCAATTCAAAAGCTTCTAGAGGTTTCTTTTAGATTCTTCAAACATATTAAATTCTACAGACACGTACCTCACGGAATACTTTAAAAGTCGAACAGCTTCTAGAGGAGGGTTTCTTTTAGATTCTTCAAACATATTAAATTCTACAAACACGTACCTCACCATGAAGTATTTGTCTGAACAATTTAGTAATTCAAACAATCCACTAATCTGAGGGCAGAGAACGATATATAAAGTACTTGAACTGTCATCTCACTTTCGATGTGGGATTCTTTCAACGTATTTTGCGCTAGGATTGGAGTCAGTGCTGGATCTGGGGTTTCACTGGTCGCATTCAGATCTTAGAGATCCAAAACTAGAGCAACTATATTAGAAGCTAAGATACGATCACCTCCAAAAGGAAACTGCACTATGAAATCTGCTATTGCAGCTCTCAATCTAATGTTTGAAATCCGCAAAAAAAGAGAGAAGACGGACGGTGAATTTGTTGTTTTCCTTTTCTGGGACTAGCAACCGTTTTAGAGGCAGTTACCAAAATATTTCTAGGACTTCCATTGCAGTTCTCTGCCTAGATTCTTCCAAAATTGCACACCACTAGCTCTAATTTCTAAAAGGCGAAAGAATAGAAGGAATCTTTGGTGGGTTCTTGGAAAAATTGGATTCTTTCTTTTCTTGTAATGAGGCCAGCCAACTTTCTGTTGCAAGACAATGATTAGCTCCGTTTGCACCATCAGTAGAATTATTCCATAGGAAAGCATTGAAAAGTCTTTCAAATTCCTTGATCACTTTTCTGGGTAGAATAAAAATTGAGCACCAGAAGGTTGTGACTCCCTGAATACCAGAGGAAATTAATTGCAATCACCCAACAAAAGAAAGGTGTTTCGATGTCCAAGAATTCATTCTGTCCATGATCTTAGACACCAATGGCTTTAGGTCTTTTCCTGTTAGTCTCCCTGTGATTAAAGGTACTCCTAGGTGCCTGACAGTGAGTGTGCCAATCTTGAATCCATAAACTGGGGTAAAGAGTTGTACTTCACTAGCAGGAATCCCACAGCTAAAAAGTTCAAACTTTCATAATTTACCTTCAAACCAGAAATAGGATAGAAGCTCTTCAAAGTGTCATCAATTGCAGCTAAAGAGGATGCCTTTCCATATGTAAAAATGATAAGGTCATCTGCAAAGCAAAGGTGGGTGAGTTTAAACTTCTGCACATTTTGGGTGATAAGCAAACTGTCCTTCTGCTGCAGCTTTATTAAGCATTAAAAAAGAAATATGGTAACAAAGGGTCACCTTGCTTGATACCTTTCTTTCCAGGAAAATATCCTACAAGATTCCCATTGAAAACCACAAAGAACTTCGGAGTAGTAATACAAGCTACCACCCAATTTATGAAAAGAGTGGGGAATCCAAGAGCATCCAAAATTTGGAAAACAAAATCCCAGTGGACAGAGCCAAAAGCTTTCATCAAATCAATCTTAAGAGCACAACATGAACTAAGATGTTGCTTATGGTAATGCTTTATTGTTCCATGTGCTAGTAAAACATTCACTACCATTAGTCTTCCTTCCACCAAAGCGCATTGATTGTGACTAATGAATAGGGGCGAACATTTCTCGAGTCTTTCAGCCAAAATCTTTGTGATGAATTCATAAAGTAAATTGTAGTAAAAGATTAGCCTGAACTCAGACATTCTGTTAGGATTTGAGACCTTTAGAACCAAGGTTATCAACGTAGAGTTCAATTCCTTTGGTATTTTCCCAGTTGTAAAAATTTCCAAGATGGCTTTTATCACCAAGTCACCTACAACTGTCCAGGAGACCTTAAAAAGTTCTGCTGTGTAGCCATCAAGCCTAGGCATCTTATTTCCAGGGCTGTTGAACACAACAGCCTTAATTTTTGTTGCAGTCACTAGTTGTGTAAGTACATAGATCCTCTGGTAATTGGAATTGCAACAAGTCTTTGATCCATTGACTATCTGCCCTTCTACAATTCACATCTTTTGCTCCTAACAAAGTTTGGTAGAATTGTACAGCTTCAATCTCCATTCCAAGTAAGGCCGTAAGTTTCCTTCCATCCATTGCAATGAGTTCACTGATTGTATTTTTCATCCTTCTTATTTTTACCACTTTATGAAACTATGTGGCATTGCTATCGCCTTCTTGCAGCCATTTAACCCTTGATTTTTGCCTAAAGAAAGACTTCATGGCTAGCTGCAAAGCTACTACTTTATTGGCCTGCTCATGCTCAACTTGTATTAAATCTTCATGTGGGTTAGCTAAAAGATCAAGTTGCAGCACATGTAACTTACCTCTTTCTTCCTGCAGTTTGCTCTGTATGTTCCCATAGTGATCATTATTCAGCTTTTTCAAAGCTGGCTTTAGGACTTTGAGTTTCTTACAAAGTTGATACATGGCACAACCTTTTATATGTGTAGAGTCCCAACTTTTTTAACTGTTGTCAAGAAGGCCTCATTCTTGGTCCAGAGGGTAAAAAACTAAAATGGCTTCCGTTTGTTGCTAACCATAGGCAAAGTAATTTCAACCGAACCAGCACAATGATTTGAGCATCCAAGAAGCAGAAAAGATGCTTTAGTGGATGGAAAATTATCTAGCCAAACCTCATTTAGCACCATTAGTTTGTCCAACTTTTTAGAAATTGTGCTGTTACCCCAGGTAAAATAAGAACCACTTGAAGGAAGATCATGCAGCTCTGCTTCATTGAGTTGGTTTTGGAAAAATTCAAAGCTATTTGCAAGAGTAAGTGATTGCCGCCAATCTGACCTCTCATCTATTGACCAAACTCATTAAAATCTACCCCCACTAGCCACGGCACTTGAGGGGGATCTTTACTGAGAAGAACCAGCTCTTTCCATGGTTCTTTCCATAGTTTTTGCCTAACATTCTCATGGTATGAGTTTGCATACATCACACCGATGAAGAAATACTTGCCAATGTACTGTCAAAAGTATGACAATGCATAGCTTGGGAAGTGGCACTTGATACAGTGATCTGAATATGAGGCCTATGAAACACCCAAATCTTTCCTAAGCTTGTGTACTCATACTAGTTGTGTCCTGGCCACCCAGGCAATAGAAAGCTAGATATTGCCAAAAAATTTTGCTGCTGAACATGAGTCTCAAGTAAGCAAATAATATCAGCATTATATTGCATAAAATAACCTTTTCAACTCTTTTTGTTTACCAGGCATGTTAATGCCCCTAACATTCCAGAAGAGAATCTTCATTTTAACTGGCGTTGAAGAACCTCACTTGAGGAGTTCAAACTTGTCTTGAACTCTCTTGGTCGTGGCAATAGAGCTTTTGTAGCCATAGCAACACCTTGAGAAGCAGCTCTGGTCTCCTCTGTTTAAGGCCAGACTCTTGCTCTAGCAAATTAGATTGCATAGTATCCAAAACAGTAAATGGGTTACCAACAGGAACTGGCTGCTGAGGATCATTAATGGATACTAGCTAGTGAGTTGAAGTGGCCAATTTAACTGAACCAGGTGATGGTGATACTATCTGTATATCCATGGTTGGTACTGGAAGCTGACTATTTAGCTCAAGATCAGGCAAGCTCAAATGAGAAGTGGAAGCAACAGTAGAAACCACTTTCTCGAGTTCTTCATCTGTCTTCTTCCTTGAGATTACTTTCCATTCTTGTTTCTTGGTTGGTTTCCATTTTTGTTTCTTGGTTGGTTCCCTTTGTAATTTCTTTGTACAGTCCCTTTTAAGAAGCCCTTCCTTCTTACAATTTCCACAATGCACAGGGAGCCATGGATACTCAAAGAGAAGCTCTATTGGTTGTTAGTTCACATCATCAATAGGGATCGAGGATGGAAGATCTGCAACTTTGTCTGCATCCACTTCAACACATACCTGTGCATAATTGGTGTGAATACCCTCTTCTGCGGCGTTATCAAGACAGACAGGGGCCCCAATGGCACTAGCCAATAGCCACATATCCTAGCCCCTGAGGTGTGTACAAAGTCATAGGAACTCCCCAAATTTTAACCCGGATCTGCATCTTCAAGGGTTTAATATTGCATAAATCCAGATCAGGTTTCCATGGCTGGAGATACAGAGTTCTTTGAGACACATGCCATGGAATCTTGGAATGGAGAACCCACTCTCTAGTTGCAGGAGCCGGAATTTGGAATAGGAAGGTATTATTGCCTACTCAAGTAACAATTATTTTCCCTTTCTACCCCAAAGTTTGTTTACAGTGTAAACAATGTCGCCATTGTTGGATTCGGAACCACCAAGAAACGTACCCACTAAACAATTGTTCCAAGATTTCAAACCCACAGCATGAACATCATCAGGAACTACTAATTTACCATTCCGAAATTCAGGCGGGAGAAAAGACAAAGTACCTTTTCCAGAATCGACAACAACATCAGCCCAGGTAGACTTTGCTGGGGGGTTCGCCGGAGTAGGAGAAGAAGAAGAAC